ATAAAATATCGTTGCTTATTTGTCCGACCCTAACCGCCGAATATAATCTAAAGAAATTAAAGACTATATAAAGAAGGTCCTATTCACTAAATACCAAATAATCTAAAAATAAATATACTTTCATAGCACCATCCTCGTCGACCCTATTAATATAAAGCTTTACCCTTTATTCCTCCGCTACATTTACAATTCACCGTCAGCCGGATACCTGGGCCGAGAAAAGACTTATTCATTATTATTATAGTCCTTCTTTTAATCAGGGATATATATTACTATTAGATTATATTATAAAGCGTATTTAGTATACGTTAAATTTAAATTATCACAATACGCCCCTTATAATTTTTTAAAATTATTAGCAGTGCTATTCGTACTATAGAAGGATATTTCTATTAATTATATTATTCTACTAACTCTATACCTATACTGTAAATAAGAATTTAAATATATTATAATCGTTATTAACCGCCTAATTAAAATAAAATACTATATCCCTACTATTAGTTTGATAGTAAAAGAATTAATAGAACGTTTTATTAAGAAGGTCTATAATATTTACGGTTTGCTAGACTCTATTATTTCCGACCGTAGTACTTAATTTATTTTATAATTTTAGAGAATTTTATTATTACGATTGGAAGTTACCCTTAAACCCTCCTCCGCTTTCTACCCTATTATTAATAATTAGATTGAGTATATTAACGTAGAGATGGAGAAATATTTACGTTTTTATATTAATTGGGTTTAGGATAATTAGGTAGATTAGCTACCGATTACGGAATTCGTTAGTAATAATTCAGTATTTAAAATTACCAATATCTCCCCCTTCTTCATTAATTATAGATTTTACCCTTATATAGGCATTAAATTAATAAAATTATACCCGTTAGAAATATTAGTAATATAATAAGTAAAATACTTTAAAATTAACAAACTAACCGACCATTTTAAAAGAATTTTAAACTTTGTTACTAATTAGGCCTATTAAATATAATAGTATTATAAAAGTAATCTAAATATTCGACAATCGAACACCCTAAAATATAAAGTAAGAGATAAGGTCCTTTTTAATACTAAGAACTTCAATATTGGCCGCCCTTATACTAAATTTATACCTCTCTTCGAAGGCCCTTTCAAAATCCTTAAAATAAATAACTATCGAATAACACTTAAACTTCCAATTAATATAAAGTACAACCCAACATTCTATATTAATAAAATTAAATTATAAGATAAAGAGGGTTTACCGGAATAAATAAATTCGGAGGAATAAAATGTTCGTACTAACTATAACCGGACTATAAAGAGGACCGATAATAGGGAGGATTCCGTCGAATATAAATTCGAGAAGATAAATAAATGCCGAAAGAATAATAAGGGTCGTTAGGAATACTTTATAATCTAAGTACCCCCGTATACGCCGTTATAGCAATTATATACCGATATATCTATAGCCCCCGACGCAGTACGGGCCTTCTACAACGGTTACCCGGAAGCGCCGTATCCCCCGGATTAGGTAGCGGCGGAGAGGAGGAGGAAATGATTGCCGGAGGTGGAAGCGGTTATAGAGGTTTTTCGAATTGAAACTATTCGTTTAATAAGAATTTCTATTATTCTATATAATATTAATTAACTATATAGCTTCTTTTAGTCCGGGGAAGTATTATAGGGCTAGCCTATATACTTTATACCTGGTACTAGCGTATAGTAGCTTCTAAAACTACTATCACTATTATCGCTGCCGGCTATTACCAGTAATTGACTAGTTAGAGCACTGCCTACCACGGGTCTACAGACCCGCTGGCGGCCGTCCTCATAAGGCCAGCCTTCCGGACACTCAATTACACTTCTCTTCCTTCTCCTTCGTGCAATTACGCATAATCATATCTACCACCTACCCTTTGCCCGTGATACCGGGTTACTATAATTATTAAAATAAAGCCGGGTTTCGATCCCTTACTAGATTAGATTACTAATATAAGGTTAGTACCATTCTTTATATAATAATATATAATTTACTCCTCGAATATGGAGGAGTTTAAGTACGCTTGGTCTATTTTATAGTATTAATTTGGTAAGAAGTAAGAGGATATTATTTCGTAGATTAGGGAAATATTACTACCCTATGAAAAAGAGTAGGTAGGTTACTATACTAATAATTATTTTAATTAAGGATAAAGAATTATATTATTAAATAAAGCTAATAATGGCTCTCTTAAAAATTATAGTCTCTCAGTTCGTAGTAGGTTAATTGAATTGTATAAAGTTTATCTCTAATATATAAACTATCGTTATACAATTTATATAAATAAATTAACCAAATTTAACTTACGTATACGGATTAAATAGGTTAACCGCGAATAGATAGGTAATTAGCCGTATAAATTATTTACATAGGCATTTAATCTTTTAAACGGCTAATATTATAAATTCAATATAATACTACCTTCTAAGCGGTTGAAGTTCCCTAGTACCCCTCTTAAGCCTTATTCAAATAGCTTTAGAGCCTAATATAATCTACCTTATACCTATAAAATAGAAGTCTTATTAAAAGAGGGGAGGACGGTCCTAGTAATTAAGGAAGTTTATTATCTATTTTAATATTTACGTTAATAATATATAAATTAATATTTATATTCCGAATATCCCCTATACTAATTTCTATATTTGCATATAGTAAATAAATACTTTAAATTTAAGCCGGCTACTGAAGTAATACCTAAAGGCCGCTTATGTAAATACAGGGGACTATTTAGTAATAGACCTATATTTATTATATTATTAACCGGGTTACAATTAAGTAAAGTTACCCGTAAAGTTATTCTAAGGGGTAAATTACGTAATCTAGGTACTATACGAACTTTAGTACGCGGAAACTATTTTTGCTACGAAATAGGGCCTTGTATTAAGGATTTTAATATTCAAAATGAAGTACGTAATTATATCAAAGTTAGTAATAATAAGGATAATAAGTTAGTAAAATATTGGGTAAAGTGGGTAAGGGAGTAAATAGTAAGGGAGAAGGAGGAGGGAGATAAGGAGGGAGATGAAGGGGGAGGTGAGGGGGGAGACGAGGGTAGGAGAGGGAGAGAGGATGCTATTGAATTATTATTTATTTCCTCTTTATTTAAGCTTTCTAACGAGCTCTCTAAGTTGATAAAACTCTCGTTAGAATTAGAGCTTTTAGATGTAAGTATTTAGAATAGATAATAAATACTATTGTGAGTTTATAATACTATGAAAGTATTACTAGATTGGATTAGCGCTATTAGATTTGCTTGCCCGCTAAGATCAAAATTTATAGTGGATTTACTTGGGTAGCCATGTGTATAATATGAGAAATTACGATTTTTATAGCTAAAACGACATATTTTACATGACAGCTGTCAACTTGACTAGTGTGAAGGCACGTAACGGGCGAGGCAGAGCTACAGCGTTGTTGACGTTCAATATAGAATTTACGACTAAAGAGTAAAATAAAAGGAAGGAGTTGTGCGGGCGGCTGGGCTGGAAGATATGCTCCCAGACCCTGGTTGCCCGGACCACTCCTTATCTAATCTACAACCAATTAAATTACTTACATTCGAGCGACCGTATAACGATTGTAGGTGCTTAGGTATAGATCGGCTGGGCTGTATTATAATATTATCCCCTCCCGTTAACGAAGATTTTGCCCTCAGAATCGAAAAAAATCGTAACCGAAGTGTGGTTCGAACCTATAGCCTTTTCATTGCGATCGCTTTCTAAGTAGAGGAAGGGTACCCTCGGGGTAACCTATATTATAATTTTAGGGCCCTCACTCCCGCTACTACGCTATTAGACTAATCCTACGAATCATTATTATATATTTTTATAGTAGTATCCCTTTATTAACCCTCCTATCCTACGTCCCCTTTACTTGCGCAAGCGATTTGATTTTCTTAGTAGCTTTCCCTTTAAGCCCTCAATTAGCAAATTGTCCTCCTCGTAGTCTGCTAATACTAAATCCTTTATTTATACGCCTTTCTATATACGCAAATACCGTAGTAGTCCGGACTTCTTTAGGTTTTCGTTATAGAAGGCCTTAAATACGTTAGGTATATTGTTGGAGGTGCCCGTGCGCCCAGCCATGGTTCCCTTCACTGGGCTATGGCCCTACCGTATAGGGCTCCTTCTCCCTCATTTCTAGACCTCCAGACTTCTCGAGTCTTCCCCTCTACAATTCAATACATTACTATATTGATTCCTTTCGTTGAGTGCCCATCCTGTTCACAGGTTATAAGCCCTCTCGACGTAACCGTCAATTAAACTATCGCGCACGCGATACTTGCATTTTTCGACGTCGTACGCGACCGATAAGAACCTTCAAAACCCTCGTCCTCGACGTTGCATTGCGACTAACAAGAGCCCTCGATATCGACTCGACCGATAAGGCACCCTAGTATAACTTCGATGTTGCATTGCGACCGATAGGCTACCCCCTCCAAACTAGAACGATGTCGATTACGACCAACTTTAAATAACTAGAGCAACATTAATTACAACCGACCTCAAACCTAGGAATTTAGCGAAAGCGATTTAATTAAACAAGCAACCATCGTCAGTCTAGCAACCTCGCTATACGATTGCGATCGAACCTCTATATTAAATAATAGAGTTGCTAACCTTAGCGGCCTACCTTTATAAAGATTATTAGCAATAAACCCGCTATCGGTCACTTTCCTTTCCTTTTATTAGTACTATTAATTGCCGACGAATATAAAATAGGTGAGATTTCCTCCTTTATGGCCCTCAAAGGTGAATCCAATGTAGATAATTAGAACTATACTCTACGTATTAAATTCAATTGCACCGACCTTCTAGAATATGTTACTACCGACATACCTAAGCCGCATAAGGCTACTAAACCTAATAAATATAAGGTTTGGCATACTAATAGAACTAAAGCTATAAAGATTATTTAAGCCACTTTCAAGGATAATAAGGTTACTACTACTCTGAATATTAATAGTTAGGACTAGGATAATACTAATTCGAAGTATTTCTATAATTTTATTCGTACTATCATTAGTAAGGTTACTAACGAAGCTCGTACCAATATTTTAGAAGAATATACTAATCTTCGTCGCAGTAATTTCGATTCGATATTGTCTTTCCTTATTCGTTATAACCTTTTACGTAAACGCGTTACTAAATATAGCCTCAAAATCGATCAAACGGTTGAAATTCTTAACCTCTACAATATAGTCAAACGCTAGTATAGTATTAATACTAAATTCTAGGCTGTAGAGATAGCTAAGGATAACCTTACTACCCTCTAACTTCTTGCCTACCTTTCTACTCTAAGTAATACCGAGGTTCGTATAACCAACTTAACTTTACAAATTTAGAAGTCTATTTCGACCTTAATTACTATTAAGATTAATAATGAGGTGGTCTACTCGTACTGTTAGAAACGTCTTGTCGGACTGTACTCCACATTTTTTCCCACATCTAACCCTAACCCTGCACGCCCACCACCGACCCGCACTAGTCCCGCTCGTACCTCGCCCGCTAAGCTCCTAGATTTCAACCTATTATACCTATCTGGGGGTTGTACTGGCTACCTTTGTATTGTACTAGCTATTTAGTCAGTTTAATTTAGTGATTATTCTAGTATGTGCCTTGTTGTATTGCCGCCTTTACTAAATTATTTATTATTACTTTTATTACCCTCGTTAATCTACTATATTGCGTATCGCTAGTTATTGCTAAGTTAATAAAGCGCTTTCATTTAGTTAACGGTATGGATTGGTGTATTATTTTTTAGTATATTTCCCTAGCTAATTGTAATATAGATAGCCGATGTAGCGACCCAACCCGTGTGCGATTGTGGTGCGGGTGACCCTAGTTAATTAACGAGTATTACCTTAGTCGAGCCTACCTTTGTTTAAATTGAAATTGAATTGTGTAAGATTCCCTTAAGTAGCGATTTGAGCGATTCCAACCAATTTAGCGACTCTAGCGATAGTGAGTTTAACGACGATAATAAAGACGGTAATAAAGTTATTAATCTTTAGTTTATTGTAATCCTTATATTTATAATTTAGTATAATATTTTTAAAAGTTTTGAAATGTTATTATATTAATGGGGTTCGTTTCAAGGCTATAATCATATTAAGATATATTCTTCCAACTATGTTACTGACGGTTCTAGTTTAATTAGAATTGATTTTTAATATTCGTTTAGCTTTATTTATTATAATAAAGAATATTCCCGGTTAATTTTAATTAGTAAGAGGGATTGTCCTTAGAAGGGGTATATTAAATCGTTGGTAGTATACGGTTGTAAATAGATATTTATATTAAAAGAGGATTATTATAATTACCCCCCCGGTATTATTCTTTAAATTTATCGTATTTTTGAAAATAAATTCAAGGCTTTTGTGTGTATATATTTTATTAAATCCGTTATTATAAATTGTGAAATCGCTAAAAACGTATATATAAAGTTCTTTACTTTTATTTTTACTAAAAGGTAATTTAAAAACCTTTGTTATATATTAAAAAGGGAGGTAATTATTAGTCATAATTCTTTTTAAGTAATTCTTAAAGAATTTGATGAGCGGGGTGTTTAGTATATTGTTAAATAGGTTAATGATGAATATACTAAATTATATAGTTTTTTTTAGATTTATTTATAGTGTAAGGAGTAATAGAAGTTTAACCCCTAAGTATAGATATATGATAATATATATAAGATTAATAACAAGGGACTCTTCTTCTTCTAAGTTATTAGTAAGAATGGTTTTATATGTTTAGTTACGTTTTTAGCCTTATTAATATTGAAATGTAAGAGGGGTTCGATTGGTTAATAGTATAAGTTAATGTTCGTCGTTAATATATTGGCGCTGTCCCCCCTTTTATTACTATTACCGACTTCGATATTGTAATATAAATTTCTATTAAAGGTTTATCCTTAGGTAAAGTCCTAATTCTGTATTTTTTATATTAATAAGAACTTTGTTAAGAAGGTTAGGGAGAAATAGAGTAAGATAATTATTGCTGTTATTATTCGAGTAATTATTGTTAATTAATAGGTATAAGAGGCCGGGTAGAACCGGCCCTCTTAGAATAATAATATTAATATTGATAAAAATAAGGTTAATTCCCTAAGTTATACTATTGTTAGACGTTTGAATCGAATTGCTAACGGCGATAATTGTATTAGTCCTATTCCACTTCTTGTAGAGTATTTAAGGTAGGGATCATATGATCTTTGGGTGTACGTTATTTACATTACTACGGTTAATAACTTTTATACTGCTTATAAGAGATTTATAGGTTTTTTTTGCGTAATAAGGCGAAATCCTCTATTATATTGAGAATACTTTGATATTAGTGAAGGAGGATTGGTTAATGTATTATACTAATAAGTAGTTTAATTTTAGTATTAGGATTATATTGCTAATTGAGTTAGTTAATTGCTATTTAAAGGGATTTATCGTTATGGGTAAGTAATAGTCCTTAAATATATATGCTATATTGCCCCCTATATTAAACCCTATATATTGATTATCCTTTTAATATAGGTAATAGCTTTGTTAATTACGTTATTACCTAGTCTTTGAAATGATTAAGGTTATAGAAACCTTAATTATAGAGTTACTATAAGATTAGAGAGTTTACTTTAAATATAAATTTATAAATAAATGTTAGATGGATATAGTACTTTATAATATTTATTAGTGAGCTTTGGATATAGTCCTTAATTAATATCGTATTATTTTGGGAGTAGTACCGACTAACTGTAACCTTTACCCTAACGATCCATTACCCTATATATATTCTTTTATTCGGTAATACGGTATATCCTGTTCTTATATGTTTTTAGAGCGATTTTTTAATTGTATTAGCCCTCTAATTCTAAGTAAGGAAGATTTTTATTTATATTAGTAGTTGGAGAGGAGTTTCTTTGAAGATGATTAGTATCTACGATACTACGATTTTGATTGCGTTGAATATTAGAGAGGCCGCCCTTATATTGATACGCTATTTACGTCCGATCTTCGAGCTCCCCGATCTATTGTGTCTATTGCTATACAACCTCCCCCATCGATGGTGCTAGTGCGTGTGTAAGTATTACAACCCCCTTATATTCACGGTCGACGCCCGGTATTAAAACTATTCTGCGATTGTAATTCTATGGTATTGATATAAGTACGGCTAAATATATAGTGAGTAGCGTTTAATTAGGAGGGGATTAATTTAGAGGTAGAGGATGAGGTTAATTATTGTTAGTTTTAAATTAGTATATAGAATAGAAGACGAAGTTACGTTCGTAGTAGTATATAGAGGGGAGGGAGAGGAGGCAATTCTATATAGGGTAGAGGAAGTTATATTATTAGTACAGTAAGAGGAGGAGGTATATTAATTAGTATTTAAATTAATATTTAAGCCTAGTAAGGGAGATTCGCTAATAGTCAAAGTATTTGATTATATAATAAAAATCATATAGATTATAAATGTATAGATTAATGTAGATTGCTTAATCGTTCAATTAAATCGTTTGATTGAGTATAATATACGACTGTGCCGCTAAATGCCCTGTAAAGTGCGCTGTAAAATACCCTGTAAATGAGTGTAAGTTTGGGCCGTCGTATGTTAGGTTACGAAAGAATGTAATGCCTAGATTTTGCGGGGAATCTTGGCGAAATTTTCGAAAGAATACTTTTGCTGGTCGGGGGTGGGTGGATTACAGTCCGACAAGACCTTTTAGACAGTACGAGTAGACCACCTCTTAATAATAAGAAGGATTCTAATAAGAATTCGTTATTTAATAATAGTAACAGTAAAAACTATAAAAGCTTTAAGTAAACTACTTACAACAACTATAACTAAACTATATACGAAGATTTTAAACACTTCCCCTATAGTTATTACCGTAACCCTCGTATAGCCGACTACTAGTAGTATAACCCTAATAAAACTCTAGCCAATTGGACTAAGAAGAAGGAGGCTATCGAAAAGAAGAAGGCTAATATTAGCACTACTATAGCGATTAGAACTACTAATACGGCTCTAACAATCCCCAATACAGCTACTAGTTCTACCTTACTCTTTAGCAACTTTAACTTTAGTAATTACATTAATACCCATATTAACCACCAGAGTTTTCACCAAAATCTATAGCGAAATCAAACCACATTGATTCTTACAACCTACTTTCAACGTATAATATCGCTAAAGTCCAACAGGCTCCTTAAGCAACTATAAAACCTATAAAAAATCTTGTAATTTACAACTTAAGTTATAGATCGAATATCTTTAACTACGTTAAATAGTTTACTAACCTACAACCCTTACCCGAACCAGCCAAACATACGATTAGTAACGGTACAATAAACTTATCCTACTATATTAGTATAGTTGAATTAACTATACTAATTACGATGAACATCAATATTCGAATTCGAATTAAAGACGTTATTTATTCCCCTTTAATACTAGCCAATTTGCTTTCAACGAGGGCTCTTCTCGAAAGCAGCTTAATCTAGGATACAAAAACCAATTAAATTAATTTTTAAAAGTATACTATCTAGTGTGACTACGTTAATAAATTGGTAGTCTTTTTGATTTTTTAACCTTATAACTTCGATTAATCTAAGATTGAGATAAAAAATATAATATTAGCTTCTATTTATTATTCAATAATATATAAGAGAATAATATACGCCGGTAGAAAATAGGTTATAAAGGTTTACTAAGAAGCGGGTATTATATTTAGTAATACCCAAAATCACGTTTGTAATGGCTATATACGTACGAAGGCTATTAATACTATACCTAAATACGCCTATACAATAATAACTACCCTAGTATAATTTATATAAATTAATATTATTCAATACAATTACCCTAACTACCTAGGATAGTACTATTATATTTACTTTATCTATAAAGCCTCTAGCCATTACTAGGTAGACTTCTATAAAACTAAGGGCGAAGTATTCGTTAAATTAAAATAGTTCAAGAAATAGATAGAACTTCAGATTAGCCTAAAAATCAAGGTCGTTAATATTAACAGCGGCCCTAAATAAGGATTAGGGATTAAAGAATTCCAAAAAATTTAATTTTATATATAGTCAAACGAAGAAGGTATTTAAATTTATAAAATTATTATTTATAGCCTATAGATAAACGGGAAATTTGAGAGGGTTGGAACTATTATTATAGAGCGTTCCAGAACCCTAATAATCAACCTCAAAATCCCTCCCCA